GCTGAGAAACCATTATACTTAGGTTCAAGTTATACAAGGCTTTCAGGATTATTGTTGTTGTATAATGTAAAAGGAAAATATGGATGGTCTGATCAAGGGTTCTCAGCTTTATTAGAAGCTCTTTCGAGTCTACTACCCACCGATAACACCATTCCCAAGTCAATGTATGAAGCTAAAAAAATAATGAAGGTGTTAGGTTTGGATTACCAAAAGATACATGCTTGTCGCAATGATTGCATCCTCTTTCATAAGCAACACAGTGATCTTGAAAAATGCCCTACGTGCGGAGAGTCTAGGTGGAAAGAGACAAAGAATGGATCCATAACAGCTACTAGTAGAATTCCTGAGAAAGTATTGTGGTACTTTCCTCCAATTCCTAGGTTCAAACGTATGTTCCAGTCTACTAAAACCGCTGAAGACATGACATGGCATGCAGACCATCGCATTAAAGATGGTAAATTGCGTCATCCTGCTGATGCTCAAGCTTGGCATCACATTGATAAAATGTGGCCTGATTTTAGTCAAGATCCTAGGAATCTGAGGTTAGCTCTTTCAAGTGATGGAGTAAATCCACACAGTTCACTTAGTTCTTCGTATAGTTGTTGGCCTGTTCAGTTAGTCATTTATAATCTCCCCCCTTGGTTGACCATGAAAAGAAAATTCATGATGTTATCTCTTTTAATTTCTGGTCCTAAACTTCCTGGGAATGATATAGATGTCTATTTAGAACCCCTGATTGATGACCTTAAAACCTTGTGGAATGATGGTGTAGATGTTTTCGATAGTTTTAGAAAGGAGACCTTCAGGTTAAGAGCTATATTGATGTGGACCATAAGTGACTTCCCAGCTTATGGTAATCTGTCTGGTAGCACCGTGAAGGGGTATTTTGGATGTCCAGTTTGTGGGTCGGGCACTCGTTCAATATGGCTGAAATGTAGTAAGAAATGTGTCTATATGAGCCATCGTCGCTTTTTACCGAAAAACCACACGTTTAGAGATTTAAAGAAAGTCTTCAATAATCAAGTTGAGAGAGAGGGACCTCCAGCAACCCTCTCCGGCGAAGATGTTCTTAAGTTGGTTGAAGGAATAAATTACAAAAACGGGAAGCGCAAGGACCGCAAAAGAAAGAGAAAGCGTGATCACAATGATGGAGACAATAGATTGTTCAAGCGCAAATCAATTTTTTTTTATCTAGAGTATTGGAAGCATTTATTGGTTCGTCATCTATTAGATGTGATGCACATAGAGAAGAATGTGTGTGAGAGCATCTATGGAACGCTTCTTGATCAATCGAGCAAAACAAAAGATGGACCTAGAGCTCGAGATGACCTTGCTCATTTGAACATTAGGAAAAACTTAATTCCTAAAGAGAATTCCAAATCATTGCCTCCAACACCCTACCACCCTGAGCAAAAAAGACAAACAAAAATTTTGTGAAACCATACTGCAAATAAAAGTGCCTGATGGTTATTCATCAAACCTGAAAAGCATAGTTTCTGATGATGACAGTCACCTTCAAGGTCTTAAATCTCATGATTGTCATACCTTGATGCAACAGATACTTCCCTTGGCCATTCGGAACATGTCACTGGCAGAAAATGTTACCAATGCGATAACTAGTATGTGCTTATTCTTCAACAGACTATGTGAGAAGGTCCTAGATCCTGATTCACTTGATGATTTAGAGTCCAGTCACCACATCACCATGTGCTGTCTTGAGCAATATTTTCTGCCATCATTTTTTGATATAATGGTTCATTTGACAGTCCATCTTGTTGCTCAAGTGCGTCTTTGTGGCCCAGTTTTTCTCTGTTGGATGTACCCTTTTGAGAGAAGCATGAAATTCTTAAAAGGGTTCGTCCGCAATCATTACCATCCTGAGGGATGCATTGCCGAATGTTATGTGGTAGAGGAAGCTCTTGAATTTTGTGCCGAGTATATTTCCAACCATGAATCGATTGGGTTGCCTACACATTCTGATAATGATGACCCAATTGAAAGGCCTCTAGGACGCGGGGACACTAAAATAGTTGATTGCTCATTGCTTGAGCAAGCACATCGTACTGTTCTATTTAATACGCCCGAAGTTCAGCCGTACATAAAGTAAGCACTCCATTGTTTATTTCGGTTTTGTCTATTTTGTGTATATTATATAATCTAACTCTTTTTGTTAAAAAAATAGGGAGCATATGTTCGAGCTGCAATCATTTTATGATGATGGTTGTATTGAAATAGAGCATTATCGAACATTTGTTAAGTGGTTTGAAGAGAAGGTTACTCGTTATTAACTTATGGTTACTGATCATATTAAAAATGTTACATAAATATACTGAATATTTAGCATATAATTTGTAGGTTCTTAATGATGTTGCAAATGGAATTGATGTGGACAAAACTGTCAGATGGCTAGCTAAAAAACCAAACACAACAGTGACAACTTACTCTGGGTACAGTATAAATGGATTTAGTTTTGCTACAAAGGAGCGGGATTTAAGCCGTGTTACACAAAATAGTGGGGTTAGTCTTGTAGCGGACTTGAATTACTACGGCGTTCTAACTGAAATTTGGGTCCTTCACTATCTGATGACTAAGAGAGTGGTTTTCAAGTGTGACTGGGTAGATAATAGGCATGTAGAAGAAGATAAGTTGGGCTTCACAATACTTGATCTAAATAAGATAGGTCATAAAAAAGATTGTTTCATTTTAGCCGCGCATGCCAAACAAGTTTTTTATGTGAAAGATCAACTTCATCCAAGAAAATCAGTTGTTTGTTCAGTTGGTCAGAAGGTTAGTCATGTTGCAGACGCTGGATGTGATGAAATGGTTATACATGATCCCCTAACTTCACATTACCCAACACAAATTCTTGATTTGGAAACCCCCGATGATGATGGAATTTATGATAGAGTACTTTGTGATGCGAATTAATAATCCAATTAGTCAAAATTGGAATGAATTCATTGCTACGTTTCAGTAAGTATTACTTTTACATAACTTTCTGGTTTATTTTACTTCAATTGTGTATTATTTGTAATTCAATTCAAAGGAAAATAACTTTATTTGTATGTATAATCTTGTTATTATGTAGGATACAGTTTGATATGAAGAATCAAAATGAAGACATGGACAATGTTGATATGGATGAACTGGATGGGAGGCCACGTAGGCGAGAAAAGACAAAGAAGAAGATGATGTTGAAGAAAAGTGGTGATCATAAAGTGATTGTGGAAGTTAATGAGCTTGGTGTTTTAGCAGTTAAGGGCTAGACGGAACTGTCTAATTACCTTGGGGTTATAGTCAGGGACCATGTGCCCATAGTGTACCATGACTGGAGAAGAGTCCCGCTTAAGTTGAAAAATGATATGTTGACGCATATTCAGGTAAGAAACTGTATGCATGTGAGCTGCTATTAACTTTGTCAATTACTTTTTTAGTCTTTAAGTGTTGAGTTCTTTCAGTTTATTTGTAGTCTTTAAGTTTTTTATTATTCATTCAATAAAATAATGTTCTTTTGGATGTAGGATCTGTTTGTGTTGCCTACTAATTCAGAGAAACATATACTCCAAACAATGGGAGCTGCACATAAAAATTTTAGGTGCACTTTGTACACTGAATTCATTGCACAACACATGGATGAGCCCGAGAAGTTAAGCTTACCTCCAAATGAATATAAGCACATTGATACTGATGAATGGAGAATATTTGTGAAGAGGTGCTTCACAGAAGAATTCCAGGTGATAGAACTTACTAATGCATTTAATATAAGTAGAAACATTTGTGAATATATGTAATAATTTTGTTAAATGCTTTTAGGAAAAAAGCAAAGAAGCAAGTGAAACTCGAAAGAAGAATATATATAATCAACGATTAGGTTCAACAGGTTATGGAGGGTTACTTTTAAAGATGGTTTGTTCTAATCTTCCTTTATTAAAATTATTCGATTGTGTATATGAGTATTTAGATGATATACCTTTTGTGTTTTCAAAACTCAAAGAAAGAACAACTTGGAAGTAATGTCAACGACATTGATCGAGCGGATACATGGCTCTTGGGAAGAGAAAGAAAAGATGGTGGATATGATCCTGAGGTTTTGGAAGTTGCAGAAGAAATAGTAAGGGTTGTAATAATTTTATGAATATGAACATGCATCTTTTAGTAAAAAAATTCCCAGTGTACTGAGTTCAATAAATTGACTTGTTTTATGCTCTTTTTAGAATAAAAAAATGGTGTTTGACACAATTTGGTAATGCTCTAGTAATGCTCTGATGTAACATGTTTGTTTGTGTAGAAGGAGCTCAAAAATAAGGTGAAAGAAGGATCATTTGTGCCTCGTGGAGACGATGATGTGCTCTCAGTTGCTCTTCAGAAAAAATCAAATGGCAGTAGAGTACAGGGGTTGGGGCACTTCATTACCCCAACACGATACTTTTACACGCCAAAGGCAACCAAAACCGAGGGTGGGAGTCATGGAATGCAGAAGGTATGTACAACTACATCTCTAAGTGAATGTTTAATGAGATATAGTTATTAATAAATAGTTAACTTCTATGATATAGACTGTTGGAGAGGTGGAGAAACCAGTATTTAGTCATCGGAAGAAGCTATTTGGAAGCGTTCCCAGAAATTCCCCTCAGCACATAAACACGGATACTTTAGGACAAGCCAATGCTCACTCCCATGATAAGGTTAGACGTCTAGTTGCATATGTTTATTTGATTAAATACGATAGTAATGTTTGTAAATTACATGCACACTCTATGCTACATACATGATATGAATGAAGAGGAAGATCAGTCAATAGCAAATATGGAGAATGACCGAGTGGAGGGAAAACAAAAACAGGGGTGCGAGGTGGTATTTGTGAAAGAGATAAGGACTGGAATGAAAGCTAAGTCCCAGCTAAAAGTGCAACGAATGACCAGGTCCGTTGCTGAAAAAAGAAAGGAACAAAGTGCTAACATGATGATGTTTTGCATTTTAGTGGAAAATTGTTTAGGCGAGATGAACAGCATCAAGCAAGATGCTGAAATTTTTGGATTCCAAACAAAAACTATGTTTAACAAGGAGGTTTGCCGCTCTGTTATCAACTTTCAGCAGGTTTCAAATTCAGTTGTTGAAATTTGGGCGAGGTAATAAGTTCCCATTTATTATATATTACATTCAATTGCATTAAAATCATTATTGTATTACAGTATAAAGCGGTAAGAGTATCTTATTATAAATATCAAAATGAATAAACTTAATTCAACTTGATTAGTAATAACTTAATAGGTACTTGCATGAGAAAATGGAGGCTGATGGAGGGGACATGCCAGTCCAGTTTGGTACTTCTGCTGCCATAGCAATACCAAAGAGGGCATCACACCAAGCGGTTACTAGGAGGTCACAATACATAGCTGATCTTTTGGATATTTCCTTGCTTGGACAAATGACTTTAATCCCCTATAATACCGGGTAAGTAATCTCTTTTGCAAGTGACTTGTATTTGCAAACAATGCTGCTTTTGTAATTACATATAGTTTCATTGTTATGTAGGAATCATTGGGTGTTGGTCGCCATCGACATGGCGGCTGAAATGATTTACTACCTAGATTCCTTGGGAGGAATTCCATCGAAGGATTTGGAGGAAATCATGAATCAGTTAAGTTACATAGGCCCTTTAAATGATGAGAAAATATTGGATCGGTTGAATTTTAATAATGATTGTGTTTCCTTTTCAGAGGGGTGACGATTAATCATGCCCAAAAATCCAAGAAAAGGTTGAATTTAAAATGGGTGAGAGTGATGGTATGTATCCTTTGATGTTTATTATCACTTTTAGTATAAATTAGCGGCTGTGATTTGTACATGAGATCCTTTTGACTAAAGATCAGAAATCTGAACTGGTGTTTTGTAGTACGGAAAGGCAGTTCACTAAAATTAATGGGTCTTTGTTATGAACCATGGTTGTTCAGTTATTTTCTGAATTTAGATACTCATCTCTTGTAAGTTGCAACCATGAAACTTCGCTGAATCTCAACTTCGCTTAATATTTCTATTCTTATTATAGATACTCCATCCTTAGGAACAATATTTATCATTTGCAAGTTTTTAAATTAACAGCTGTGATTTGTATGCTACAAGTTTTAATCAGTATGAACTGTCCCGGCCAGAAAATATTTGTTTATAATTCTATTATTATTAGTTTGTTAGTTAATTAAATCAATGTAAATGATAGAGGGTAGATGCACAGGATATGAAGAAGGTAGTTTCTGAATTAATGAGAGTGATTAATGATTCCAGATTATGAATAATAATATTATAGTGAACAATACTTGACTGTATTATTTTTTTACTATAACTTGTTCTTTGTTTTTAGTAAATCTTAGTTTGTATTTACTGTCTATTTAAATTGAATATATGAAGTGCCCTAAGCAAACATGAGGAGTTGAGTGTGGTTACTTTGTGATGAAGTACATGAAGGATATTGTATCTGACGTGAATCGTTTGAAACAGAATGTGAGCGCAATTAATTAATTAGTGTATCTTGTAATGATAGTAAGTGCTAATTAATTTAATTTTACATTGAAGTTCTCTACCGTCAAGGAGTATACCGAAGATGATATTTTACAAGTGCGTGAGGAGTGGGCTTTGTATGCTGCTACTTTGATAAAAAAGTAAGTTCACATTTAAAATTTACCGAAAATAAGTTTCATAATATATGGATGTAATATTATATTTTGTTTGATATGTAGTGTGCAAGCGGATCCTACAAAGGCTTGATGATATGCACGGGGAGATGCATTTCTGATTATTGTTGATGGCGGTTAGAATGGTCGGTGTTATGTTATGTTTGTAGAATGTAGAGGCAGGTCAAACTTTTGATAACTAAACATTGGTACCGGTTGGGAATGTGACTTGTTTGTATTTTAGCATCTTCAATGATGCTTGGTAGTAGTTTTTTTGCTGAATTTCAATAGCCGGTTTTTTGCGGGAATATTGCATGCTGGAATTTTTCTATATCTTTTATCCGGTGGTAGGAAATGTAATTGAACAAGAATGTGAAATTGTTACTGAATATTATATGTTAAATGATGTATTTTGGGTATCCATTAATTTTTGGATGTTATAATATTTATGAATGAAGTAAGCAATAAATTTGAATTCTACTAAAGCTACCATGGGCATATTATCTAGGCCTATATAGGCCCAATTAACAAAACCAAGCAAGTGACATTGAAATGTCATAAAAATCTATGATGCTGAAAGTATCATAAAAATTTATGATACTGAAAGTGTCATAAAAATCTATGATGCTGAAAGTGTCATAAAAATCTATGATGTATTAATGTCACAATGTGTTCTTGATGCATAAATGTCGCTATTTTAGCCGATAAATTAGTGTCACTATTTGCTGACACAAAACCGTCCCGCATCAGTGACACTAAATATAGTGTCGCTAGCCGCCACTTTCCCCGACGCTTTTTTAGTGTCGCTGAAAGTTTCAGCGACACTAAATTA